CGGGCCCCTGCGCCTATGCAGCCCACGGTCGAGGGGCCCTGGCCGAGGCTGCCCGCCGCTGCCTCCACGACATCGCCCTGGCCCACCGGGCAGCCGCCGCCGCCCGGCCCCCCATGCCCCCACCAGCACCGCAGCCGCCCAGCCCTGCACGGAGCCCACCTCGGCCTACCCTGGCCAGGGAGGAAGACGAGGAGGATGAGGACGAGCCAACGGAGACAGAGACCTCTGGGGAGCGGCTGGGTGTCAGCGATAATGGAGGTGAGAAGGACAGGGGCAGGGGCCGGGGGGGTTCCTGGTAAGTTGCCTCCTCAGTGGGTTTTTCTGGAGGGGTACAGCTGGCCTGTCTCTGAGCCCTAATGTTCATGGAAGCTGCAGGCTTGCCTGTGACTCACTCTGTGACCTTGAGCAAGTCATTTCTCTTCTCTGAGCTTCAGTTTCCTTCCATCATGTCTGAGAGCCAGCTCTGTGCTGGGAGACGCTGGGCACAGAGAAAGCCAACTTGGGGTCTTTTCTCTAGGGACTCTGGGTCTGGCCAAGGAATTGGAGTCCTGACATGAAGCAGTGCCCTGTGGAGGCCATGGCGGGGGAGGGAGCCTCCTGAGCCAGGAGCATGAGTAGAACAGAATTGTTTCCAAATCTGGGGTGCCTAATGCCTGTGAGAGCAAAGACAGGAGTTAAAGAGGAGTCAGGGGTACAAGCAACAGCTGAAGAAGCAACTGGCTGCATTGGGGGAAACGTGGAGGTTGGATGCTTCCCAGAGACTGGGCTGTAACATTAGGGCTTTGAAGAGTGAGTAGGAGTTCTCCGGCAGTGGGTGGGTGGGGGACTCAATAAGTAGTTACTCATTTGTTACTGTTACTATCAACGGCTGACTTCCTCACTGTTGCTGGAGAAACCCTCATAGGGTTAAGGGCACAGACTCTGGAGCCAGGTGGCCTGGGTTCAAATCCTGGTGACACCACTTACTAGATTTGGGACTAAGTGCAAGTGAGTTAATCTCTCTGTGCCTCCAGGTCCCCGTTTGTCAAACAGGGATCATAATCATCTCATATTTCTCTCAGCCTGTATTTTGAGTCGGTTCATCCCAAACAGATCTTACAGATTTCATGTTCGTCCAGCCAGTTGCTTTCACCTGGGGATGTACCAGATAGAGAGAAACTGGATTTATTTCTGCCGAAGGCCAGTCAGATAACCAGGGGAAAGGTGTTCGTGGCAGAGGGAATAATTATTCCAGAGGCCCCGAGGCTTGCAAGGGCCTGGCCAGTGCAGGGAACAGAGAGGCGGTGGCAGTGGCCGGAGTCTAGAGCGCATGGAGTCCAGCGGGACTCAACTGGTCCGGGCCTCTAATGCCATCCACAGGACTCTTTGTGATGGATGAGGATACCACGCTCCAGGACCTGCCCCCCTTCTGCGAGTCAGACCCTGAGAGCACGGATGGTGAGTGTCACAGGCTGTCCCCATCCCTGGAGAGGGGGGTGGGGAGCTGGGAGGAAGGCAGCTGAAGACAGAGGCTGAAGTCCGCCTTCTCTCCCAGATGGCAGCCTGAGCGAGGAGACCCCCGCTGGGCCCCCAGCCTACTCAGTGCCCCCAGCCTCAGCCCTGCCCACACAGCAGTACGCCAAGTCCCTGCCTGTGTCCGTGCCCGTCTGGGCCTTCAAGGAGAAGAGGACAGAAGCTCGGTCATCTGATGAGGAGAACGGGCCGGTGAGGGGCAAATGGGAGGTGGGGAGGAGGGTGTCAGGAAGGGCTCAGAGCTCTCTCCTCCAGGAAGCCCTCGGACGTGGATGCCATGTTTCTCAGGATTGATCCTCCCCTCCTACTCATAAGGCTGGCTCTTGGGCTAGAGCGCTGCAGTTTTAACTATCACAGCCTTGTAATGTGCCCCAGTGCCTTGTAGAGAAAGCAGCCTCTAATTTCCAGGAACAGTACCGTTTATAGGATACGTGGTCTGCGCAGGGCACATGTATTTTAGTATCCCCTCCAGATTGGGAAACTGAGGCTCAGAGGGGTCAGATCACCTTCCACCCTCACCCCACGTATTCCTGGCCCCTCCTGGAATTTGTGCCACCTCCCTTGTCCTCTGTTCCTCCCTCCCACACTGTCCTACACATGGAGTTCCTGGGCTGGCCTGGGTGGGTCCTTATCTCCCATCACTAAAGCTCCCTGAAGCAGAGGGGAAACTGAGGCACTGAGAATACACATGACTTCCTGAAACTCAGCCCGTAAGGGGCAGCGCTGGGATTGGAACCTAGCTTACTTCTGGAAAAGAGCTATGGACTTGCAGGGAGGAGGCCTTGCATCCCATGGTCCCCCCTCCCTATGACGCCTCACAGTGTCCTCATTTATAGACTGGCAGGGTCCGTCAGCTGCTGCTGTCCTTGTTTATCACTGGTGGAAACACAGTTAATTAACTGAACCTTTGAGGCCTGAGTGCTGGGTCCTGGGCTGGCCTCTGAGAGGACCCGGGTCCAGCTTCTGTTCATGGCCTCTCCCATTCCACTGGGCGTTAGGCCCAGCTCAGGGTGACAGGGGCCTTAAGGGAGGTAGTGCTAGGTGCTGGGGCTGCAGGCAGAATGACAGGACCCCTCCTCAGTGGAGACTGACAGTGAGAGGGCTCCTTTCTCAACAGCGCTGGTGACATGGTCGTTCACCCTTCTTTAGCAATCACTGTGCTGATTATCTCAGAGCCTGTTATCAGCCCCGTTTTTCCGAGGGGAGACTGAAACCTAAGGAGGTAAAATCCCTGTTGACAGCTAGTGGGTGGCAGAAGCCTGATTAGAACCTGACTGAATCCCGAACCCGGATCCTTAGACGTGAGACCCTCTGGGTGCACACAGCCGTGATGGTCAGCAGACAGGCAGCACTTCCACTATGTGGAAGGACGGCGGTGAGACAGGCCTTTGTGTGTGCACATAGGAGGCGGAGAATGGGGGGGAGGAGAGGGGCAGGAAGGCTCTTTGAGGAGATGGTGTTTTGAGTTGGGTGGCAGAGCCCTAAATGGAGCAGGACAGGGTGAAGGGCCTTCCTGGCCGTAGGCATCGAAGGGGCAAAAGTGCTAGGAGAGGACCTGGAGCCCAGGGTGTAGGCTCTGACCCCGGCCGTATCGCCGTTCCCGCAGCCGTCCTCGCCGGACCTGGACCGTATCGCGGCGAGCATGCGCGCGCTGGTGTTGCGGGAGGCCGAGGACACTCAGGTCTTCGGGGACCTGCCGCGGCCACGGCTCAACACCAGCGACTTCCAGAAGCTGAAGCGGAAATACTGAGGTCCAGGGAGCTTCCCGGCCTGGCGTCCGCCCCACCCCAACACTACACCCTGCCCCGCCCCCGGGGCCCGCCAATCCGAGTCAGATCCGGGACCGGCCTCCCGGGCCACCAGGATTGACCAGCCCCTGCCAACCCCCGCCGCCCTTCCAGCCCACGACCGCTGGATGAGCTCATCCCCGCGCGGATGAGCGATGCCTGTGCAGTTTCCCGATTGGGTCTGTTTTCTCTCTGCCCAGCGACAGATTCTTTCTATTAAGGGATTGTCTCGCTCCCCGATCGGGACGTGGCTAGTTGGCCAACTTCGTCGTTTTCTGCCTAGCAACAAGGGCTTTGCTCGCACGGCATTGGCTCCATTCCTGAAAGAGCACAGTCAAGCTCCAGGATTGGGTAGTGGCCCTCGACTTCAGCACGGTGAATGGGCAGCTCCTTCACTTGATTGGCTCGAACACTGTAAAGGGCTTGACCAATCTCCCGAGAGAGCCATCACCCTTCCTGAGTTCCCCCACCTGATTGGCTCCACTTCTGGGGGCATGGCCAACCCTCTTCCTGTGCCCAGGATTGGCCTGTGGCCTTAAATTTACGTTCTTTACACTACTGGGCTGGGGTCGTCTTTTGCCGAAGTCCTGACAATTGTCCCTCTGGCCCCCTCAGGGATGGCCCGATCCTGTTCCTGCGTCTGACACCCTCTCATTGGTTCCATCCCACAACAGCCTGCCAATCAAACCCGTCCTTGCATCCAGGACGTTACCAGCTCCCGCCCCTCTCCCCCCACCCCCACAGGTGCCTTAAAGGGCCCTCGTCCACCCAAGGTGGGGGGCAGGGGGCCTCACTCTCCGGCCCTGGTGTGGGGGAGAGAGTGGGGGGTCGGGATCGGGAGTTGGGAGGGGCGCTCTGAGATTAAAGAGTTTTACCTCTGACAAATGAGTCTGAGGTGTGTTGTGGGTATTCATTTAACATTTTCTGAAGCCAAATTAGCAGCGTCTCATTGCTTCTCAGTGCAACGCTGGGAATTGGACTCGTCCCCATTTTACGGACAAGAAAAGAGAGGTTCATGGGGTGGGAGGAAGGATTCCATTCCTTCCTCGTATGATCGTGGAGTCCCAATCTTCAGGGCTTTGAGTGTTGGGATCGGAATAGTTTAATGAGTCAGTCTCCTGAGCCCACATAGTGCCCAGGAAAGCCAGGAACCTCCAGCTGCGGCCGGGAGTTTTCTGACTAACGTAAGACAGCTGGAGGTTAGAGAACAAATGGCTCCTGGTCCGAAGATGTAAACGCGGAATCCCCATGTCCCATCAGACCACCACCAATGGAATGCTAACAACAGACAAAACTTAGGGCAAACTATCACCTAGACACTTTTATAAGTTATTTACATGTACTAACTCATTTAATCTTCCTAGTAACCCCACAAAGTGGAAACGATTATCCCCACACTGTAGTTGAGAAAACTGCAGCATCCAGGGTAGGGTTGCTGTCGGGGCGGGGTTTCTTCGACTGACAATAATCGTAACGAGAATCTCCTCCCGATAACTGTCTCCGGCAAAGGGAATGAAAATTAGAGTTCAACGTGGAAAGAGGAAAAAATGTGTGAACAGGGAATCTACCCCCCCCTACTGGCCTGCGTCTCATACTGCATCAGGAGAGATGAAGGTCAGAACAGCGGAGGGACCTTAGGAGCACCGTGTCTGGGAAGGGGCGGGGCTTATGGCCAGGCGGAGCCAATGCCCCGCCCACTTTGGTAGGACGAGCCATTTCCGTCCGCGGAGAAACAGAGGCAGCAGCCGGACGAGTTGCGAGCAGAGCGTCTCCGGCAGGCCCTCCCTGGTCGGAAGCGGCGAGTGAGCCAAGCGGCGGGCAAGGGTGAGCGTGGGGCCGAAGCGAGTGCGCGAGAGTTTCTCGGCCTTTGCCGTGGGAAGTTGGAGTCCGGGGTCCCGGAGGGAAGGAGTGGGGCGTCGTCGCCTGGGAAACGGCGCGAGCCCCAGGCCGACGAGTGGGTGGGATTTCCGGAGCCTTTAGCTGATGAAGGGAATTCCTGGTGCGGAGGGCGAGAGGAGGCGGGACTTCCTTTAGCAACTGAGGGCTGCCACTCAAACCTATTTACCTACTTTCCTTTAGGCCGGCTCCCAGGATGGCCAGAGTGGAGGCCCAGGGCCGCCTGTGGCTGGAGAGCCCCCCTGGGGGAGCGCCTCCCATCTTCCTGCCCTTGGGTGGGCAAGCCCTGGTGCTGGGCCGAGGACCCTTGACGCAGGTTACCGACCGGAAGTGCTCCAGAAACCAAGGTGGGCAGGGAGGAGCCTGAGCTGGAGGGGGTGTGGTCCGCTTCAGGAGCGGGAACACAGTCAATGGGAAAGGTAGTCCAGGAATTGCGTGGTGCAACCAGTCCTGAAGTTGGTAGGTGGCATGTGGGGAGCACAGGAAGAAAAAGGTTGTGCCTGACCTGAAACTAGCCAGACACCTTGGGCGGGAGCGGATGGAGTCAATCCCGAGACACTTTGTCACTGGGCAGAGGATACTCACAGGCCACCGGGAAGGCTTGAATCAGGCCACGACCCTTGTCAAGGAGAGAGCCGATCCTATGGAGAAAAGTGCATATTGCTAAGCAGAGATGGGTGGTAGAGGGCCAAGCCCAGAACCTGCATCTTGCCAAGGTCTGCGTTGTCAAGGAGAAGCCAATTCTATACGGAAAAATACCTGCCCTGACCCTAGGCGAGGACCAGTGACACAGGCAGTCGTTAAGGCCTTTATCTGGGTACTGCATGTCAAGGAGTGAGCCAATTCTACTTAGAAATAAACTGATTCCTCCTGCCGGATGGGTGCTGTAGCCCCATACTGTGGTCTGAAGCTGGCCATGCTCCCCAGTAAGGAGGGAAGCAGTCACACAAGGATTCAAATCCTGACTCCACCCCCTCAATCCTCAGTGGAGCTGGTCGCTGACCCTGAGACTCGGACGGTGGCAGTGAAACAGGTACCAGTTCGTTAGCAAGGGGCCTGGGGGCGGAGTGGGGGTGGGGGGTGTGGAGAATCGCTACCCAGCGGGGAACAGGCCCAATTGGGAAAATCTGATTCTGGGAGGGGAACAGGTGTGCCTGTTTCAATGGGGTAAACACCCATACCTATTTAAATTGGGTAAGACTGGATGCCTATAACCTTCCCAGAGTCCTGATTGGTGGTAGAAGGTGAGGAGGCGGGACTTAGGGGTCTGATTGGCCGGTGGAGAAAGGCGAGTCTTTTTCCGGGTTATTTGATTGGAGGAGGTTGCCGCTGGGGGTGGAGCCAGTTCCAGTCCTCCCTCTCTCTCTACAGCTGGGAGTTAACCCCTCAACTGCCGGGACTCAGGAGCTGAGAACAGGGTTGGAGGGTTCTCTGGGGGTGGGGGACACGCTGTATTTGGTCAATGGCCTCCACCCGCTGACCCTGCGCTGGGAAGAGGCTCACACGCCAGAATCCCAGCCAGACACTCCACCAGGCACCCCTCCTGTGGCCCCGGAGGAGGAGGAGGAGGATGAACAGCAGAAAAAGCGGATAAGGAAGTCATCCCCTGGCTGGGAGAGCTTCCAGAAGCTGCTAGTGTTCACGGCACCTGGTGTGAAGCCCCGGGGCAAGGTGAGGCCCAAGCTGAGCACTGAGGGAGCACAGCCCCTTATATGCGGTTAACACCCAAACAAAACTTAGCTCCTGTTTGGATTTTCATGGCTCTTAGCCGTCCGAGGTGAAAAAGGCCAGGGGAAGAGGCTGGGTCGGATATGAAACCCATTTTAAAGATTGGAATACTGAGGGGCTCCGGAGGAATAGGAGATAGTAGAGTGAAGATTTCACTCTCAACTCAGTGTCCGAGATACATCTTTGCTGTGCCTTGTCCTTACATAAGATGTGTAGGCCCGCTGTGACTCAGTTTCTCCATCTGTAAGGGGTGGGTGGTAATAGTCCCCAGCTTGCAGGGTTGATGTGAACCAGCCTGTGAGTGAGGGGGATCAGAAGTGTAACAGTGCCGTTCTTCCTCTTTTCTGGGTAACGCCAGGTGGCCGGTTTTGATCTGGATGGGACCCTCATCACCACACGTTCTGGGAAGGTCTTTCCCACTGGCCCCAGTGACTGGAGGTGATAAGAGACAGGAGGAGGGGGTGGGTGAGGTGCACTCCGGGCCCCATGTCACGTTGCTCTTCCACGCCTGCCCTAGGATCTTGTACCGAGAGATTCCACAGAAGCTCCGGGAACTGGCCGCCGAGGGTTACAAGGTGTGTGTGCGCGTGTGCGCGTGGTGGCGGGTTCACAGGGCAGGTCCGGGCCTGATGAGGAGGGCGCCGGCTGACACCTGTCCGCTTCCCAGCTGGTGATCTTCACCAACCAGATGGGCATTGGACGCGGAAAGCTGCCAGCGGAGGAGTTCAAGGCCAAGGTGGAGGCTGTGGTGGAGAAGCTGGGGGTCCCCTTTCAGGTATGGCTGTAAGGGAGGCTGAAGGGCTATGTGGAGGGACAGAGACTCTGAGACGGGGGCGGTGGGGGGGGAACCTGGTAGGTGAAGGGGGCAGGCACAGGGACCCAGAGAGAGGGGAACAGAGACAGTGAGATGGGACAGAGGAGGGAACAGAGACCCAGGGAGAAGGTATGACATGGTGAGCCAGTTGGAGAGGTGGGGGGAACAGAGACCCTGGGTGAGTGGGGTGTGGGCCCCAGGTGGGGTTATGCTGACAAACCCATTGTAAGTGGCAAGTTCCAGGGCACCGGGCGCTCTCCTTGGATTGGTGAGGGTCGGGGTAGCATCATCCTTGGGACCCATGTGCCCTTGAAGGACTCTGGGTGCTGGAGGAGGAGCCAAGGATGGTGTCTAACCTCTGCCCCACCCACAGGTCTTGGTGGCCACGCACGCAGGCTTGTACCGGAAGCCGGTGATCGGCATGTGGGACCACCTGCAGGGGCAGGTGAGCTTCGGACTCCCAGTGGCTCTCCTCCCTCTGCGGCCCCTTGCTCTCTGCCCTGCCTCCCCACTCTGGGTCTCTGGTGCATGACCTTCCTCTCATCCCCTACCCTAGCCTGGTCTTCTCAGTTCCTTTGCTATCGTGTCCTAGTGTTGACACGATATCGTAGTGATATCGTTGTCCTAGTGTTGATATGTGAGGCCGGTGCTCACAAACTGTGAAAAACAGTGGTGGAGAGAGAAGTCGCTCATGGATCCATTCATTCGTTTGGGTGTGCGTTTGTTCTGAAGTTCAACAGCTTCTTGAGCTGAAAATATTAGTGAACAAGACAAACCTGCCTGCTGCCAGATCAGGGAAGGTGCAGACTATAAATGCATTGACAGATATGTAGAATAGCAGAGTGAGGATAAGGCAGGGTGTTGCTTTATCTACGGAGCTCAGCGAAATCCTCTCTGAGGTGCCCTTGAGTAAAGATATAAAGCTGCTGAGGGAGGGAGCCATGTGTGTATCTGAGGGAAGAGTGGTCCAGGTAGGAGTAACGCCAAGTGCAAGGGTCCTGAGGTGGGACCGAGCCTGGTGTGCTCATGGGCAGTGAGGAGACCCGTGTGGCTGTACCTGAGCGGGTGAGGGGGAAAGTGAGGGGTATGAGGTCAGAGAGCAGGGGTCAGGCTCTCAGGCTTCGTGGGCCACAGCGAGGTGGCCACCGAGAGGATTGGGAGGAGAGCGTCCGGAGCCGCGGTAAGTGGGAACTTGCGCCCTCTGGCGGCCGTTTGGGGAACAGACGGGCGAAAGTGGAAGCCGGGAGACCCGGAAGGAGTGACCGAATATTCTAGAGACGTGCTGGTGGCCAGGATCGAGTTGGTGGTGCCGGCAAAGGGGGTGAGAAGTGGCCGGAGGGCGGGGCCGACAGGATTCACTAATGGATTGGGTGTGGAGCATGAGAGGTTAGAGATAGGCCTCATGTGGGGCACAGACCAAGCTGAGCATCCGGCTAGTGCCCTGGGGGGACAGATGTGTGAATAGGTTCTTTACTGCCTGTTGTCTATCACCTGTCCCTCCCCAGGCCAACCAGGGCGTGCCCATCTCCATCGGGGACAGCGTCTTTGTGGGAGGTAAGGGCCTGGGTGTGGGGAAATGTGTGGGTCTGCAGGGCTGATGCAGGTAGGCTGGGGACCCCTGTCCCCAAGGTTCCTGGTGGAGACGGGTTTGTATCCTCCATGTGTTCCAGATGCAGCTGGACGCCCAGCCAACTGGGCCCCTGGGCGCAAGAAGAAAGACTTCTCTTGCGCTGACCGCCTGGTGAGGCCCGCTCTACCCTGTCCCTGCCCACCCCACCCCCCAGCCCAGCCACTACCCAGTCTGATGTGTGCCCTTGCCCCCAGTTTGCCCTCAACCTGGGCCTGCCCTTCGCCACGCCAGAGGAGTTCTTTCTGAAATGGCCCATGGCCCGCTTCGAGCTCCCAGCCTTTGACCCGGTGAGGCCCGAGGGGCGGGCTGGGGGCAGAGTGGGGGACATGCAGGGATGGGGAGGGCGTCTCGCTCATCATGTCTGCCCCTCCCAGAGGACCGTCTCCTGCTCTGGGCCTCTCTGCCTCCCTGAGTCCAGCTCCCTCTTAAGCTCAGACCCTGAGGTGGTTGTCGCCGTGGGATTTCCTGGGGGTGAGACTCCTGCCCCTCAAAAGCCCCAGCTCTGCTCCGATTTCTCAGGCCCCCACTAATGCTGCACTCTTCACAGCTGGGAAGTCCACCTTCCTCCAGGAGCATCTCGTGTCGGCCGGATACGTCCACGTGAACAGGGTAGGACCTCATCTGCAGCCCCTCCGCCCCCACCCCCAAGAGCTGTCCTCTAGGTCTCTGCTCCCCCCGCCAATCTGTCCTTCTCTTTCCGGCTCTGCCGCCTGCCCCCAGGTCTTCTCTCCAGGTCCCTGCCCTCCTCTCCCTGCCTTTTCCCCCTACCCTGGATCCCTAATCTTCTGTCTCTGGGTCTTCCTCTCTGGTTCTCTGTCCCCCTGGGTCTCCTGGCCCCCATCCCTGGCCTCTTTCTGGGTCCCCCAGGACACTCTGGGCTCGTGGCAGCGCTGCGTGACCACGTGCGAGGTGGCCCTGAAGCAAAGGAAACGGGTCGTGATTGACAACACGAACCCAGACATCCAGAGCCGAGCCAGGTACCGGGGTCCCAGGGGCGGCCTCTGTAGGGTGGGCCCCGGGCCCTTTGCCAGCCCCCCACTTCCCCGGCCCCCACAGGTACATCAAGTGTGCCCGAGACGCAGGCGTCCCCTGCCGCTGCTTCCTCTTCAGAGCCACCCTGGAGCAGGCACGCCACAACAACCGGGTGAGCCGGCCTCCGCCTCCCCAGCCCCCCCCCCACCCCCCCCCCCCCCCCCCCCCCCCACCGCCGCCCCGGCCTGGCCAGCCTGACCTCCGCCCCCCGCAGTTCCGGGACATGACGGACTCCTCTCACGTCCCCGTGACCGACATCGTCATTTACGGCTACAGGTAGGCGCCGCAGGCGGGGAGGGCCGCTAGGTTGAGCCTGTACGTTGGGCCTCACCTCCACCCCCCACCCTCTGCCGCCAGGAAGCAGCTCGAGGCCCCCACGCTGGCCGAAGGCTTCTCCGCCGTCCTGGAGATCCCGTTCCGGATCCACGTGGCGCCGCAGCTCGAGCGGCTGTACCGCCAGTTCTCAGAGGGCTGAGCCAACGCCCACCCCCACCTGCTCCCCACCCCACAATAAATGCTGTTTTTCTTCATGTTTGACCAGCATTTTGCTCCCAGCCGGGCTGGGAGCACAGACCCACCGGCCTGGTCTCCCAGGAAGGCACTGCTGGCAACTTTGCCTCAAACTAAACCCTCAGCCCACCTTGGGGACAAGTGCCTCTCGCGGACGGGGGTTTTGGCTTCTCCAGCCTGCGGCTGCTGGCGCTCCAAATGGACGCCAGGGCATCCTGGCTGGCAGGGCCTGAGTGGAGTTCGCTGCAAGCAGCTGCCAGCTGCAGAGCAAGCCCAGAGTCTTAGCGAGACTGACCCAGGGCCAAGAGTTCGCGCTCCGGTTCCGTGAGAAATGAGGTGCTCTGCGTGCTGGACTTGAACCCCAGGGCTATGGCCTGGACCTGCAGCCGCGAGGGGCGCCTGAGAGCCCGGCCAGGCCTGCCGCATGCCACCAGTGCCAGAGGACTGGAACCGGCCTGGCATTGCCTTGTGTTTGCTTCCAGCTAAGTGAGGCTTGTGGAACCCACAGGGCAAGGAGGGCAGCCTGGCAACGCCGGGAGTTGGGGGCTGGACCCCAGGAGCAGCCGGCCAGCTGTGGAAAGACTGGAAGACACGGCTCAGCAAGCACCTTGCAGACCTGGCAGCTCCATGAACTGCAGCTTCTCCTCCTGGCTCAGGTAACAGTGATCTCAGAGGTGACCCCTCTCCTGCGAATGGTAGAAATGCACACTCCCAGGCCTCAGCCCTGTCCACACTCGGGGGTGGGCCCAGCCTTCAGCCCCTGGGGACGGCACTCAGGTCTGAGGACAGCTGCTGTTGGGAGGGGCCTGGCCTCTCCCGAGCCAGGGTGTCTGGACAGAGCACAGTGACCAGAGGGCTTTTAAAAGGTTTTATTGGGGAAACGTACAAGGGTGGGGACTGTCCTTGGAGATATCTCAGGACGCTGTCCTCCATCTCACTGGGCAGTTGCAGTCCCCACAGGCCTCTGCTCAGAAGCATCTGACCTGGGGGCAGGGGGCATAGTGGGAGGGACTGGACAGGTGAGGCTCCAGGGCCCCGGGCACGAGAAGAGCCTCTCCCTGCCCTCCCTGACCCTGACTGGAAACCCCTGCTCCTGTCGCCGCCTGGTGGGGAGCGGGGCTGGAGTTTCCCAGGAGGCCTGGGACCACGGGGGATGTGCGTGCCTCTCTCTCTGCTCTGGTCTTCTCAAGGCCAGGGTCACACTACTTCCCGAACCCCAGGCAGTTCCCAGGGTCCATCCTGTCCTTGGCCCAGCTTCCACTCACCAGTCTCGGCGGGGCCTCGTCTGTGGCTCCTGGAGAGGCCCAGCCCGGCGGGGTGGCCCCTACCCCCCCATCTGTGCAGGAGGAAGCCAGGGAGGAGTCAGCGGGGGGTGGGGTGGGGTGGGGGGAGGGGACCGAGGCCCTGGCAGCGGCGCTCACCCCACGCTGCTGCTGCTCCTGCTCCAGGTTCCGCTGCAGGACCTGCTGCTGATTGGCGATGACGCGCCGGATGCCGTTGACGAAGTTGCTCTGGTCGTGGGGGATGAGGCCGATGAAGATCTTCTTCTCAGAGGAGTACAGGAGCATGAGCACGCGGATCTCGCACGAGGCCTTGTAGGAAAAGTGCACGCAGCCGGCCTGGCGGTGTGGAGCACGGTGTCACGGGCGGGCCCTCAGCGCAGACGCTCCTCCCCATTGAGACACGGGCGCAAACCGCACGGGTCAGCGCCCTGGCAGACGGGCACCACAGAGCACACCGGGCCTTCCCAGCCGCCGTCCTCAGCCCTGTCAACACTCCCACAGGACACCAGAGGTGCCTGCGCAAGGACCAGCGGGCTCTACAGCTGAGCCCAGGAGGCTGCCTGACGAGCTCCAGCGAGACTGTGGCCCCCACGCCGGCCAGCCAGTACCCAGGATGCCCACGGGACCAGCCACGGCCGTGACCGCGACCACGCAGGAGGGCCGCGGCGGGGGAGAAACACCAGGGGCCAATCTGGCCCCAGGAGGCCGGGCACCAGGGCTCCGTCCACTCTGCGAGCCCCGGGCCAGCCGAGGGCGGGGAGGCTGGGCGGCGCTGATCCACGGCGATGCCGCCGTCACCGCGGCTTGGGACATGGCTCAGCGTCACAGCGACTGCAGTGCCGACAGGCACCAATCGCTCCCTGACGCCTTTCACAGGATCCTCTCTCCAGGGCCCAGGGGTCACCGTCCCCATCTTACAGGGGAGCAAACCCAGGCTGAGAGCTCGAGGACTCACAGGCCCCCAGAGCCAGAAGGGGTTATGCCTGCCCTCGGGCCTGTGTGCCACTGCAGGGGACAGTGGTGACAGGCATCGAGGAGGAAGCCCTTCACAGCACCCCCGAGCCAACAGCCTGAGGGAAGCCCGAGTGCGCCGAGGGAGCACCGGCCATGGTCCTCGAGGCCTTAGTTTCCCTGAGGGAATCCTGCTTTTAAACTCTTAAATAACCAGCCCCTCAAATGCACAGTGGCACAGCCACGATGACTTCGGCTGACTTAGAAACATTACGCTAATTCGAGGACAGCTCTGACCTGGTACAGCAAACACCCACAAAGCGGACACAGACAGACAGCTGAGGCTTCAGGAGCACGAGGGCCAAGCTCCTCACTTCACAGATGGAGAGACCGAGGCCCGCAGAGAGGGAAGAACTGGCCAAGGCCCACCAGCAGGTGAGCACCGGGGGCTTTCAGAGCTCGCTCCGGCTGGAGGCAGACAGATGCCCTGCCCTGCCTGGTGAGGGCCTTTGGGAGCCTCAGGTTTTCCACCCTGTCCCCGGGGAAAGGAGCAAGAGGAAGGCGGCAGGTAAGAACCTGGGAGCAGAGTCGATGCATGGGGTGGCGTCAGCCTCCTCAGCTAAAGAAACCCAGACAGAGCAGGGGAGGACAGCCCCGGGGGCCCGGACCAGACTTGGTCCAAGTTCCCGCCCAGCACTTGCCGGCACAGCCTCTGGGCCTCTGTTTCCCCATCTGTAAAATGGGGTCAGGATGGTCCAGAGCCCCAGGGGAGCCAATGTCCAGGCACAGAGCTAACACGCCTTCCCCACGGCTACCATCACGCCCGGCCAGTTTTGGGGAATCGTCCGCTCTTAATCTCATTTCAGTTTTTAAACACCGAGCGGCTCTGGCTCTGTCTGTCTGGGCTCACCATCAGCCCAGCCCTGGGCCCCGCCAGCCCACTCACAAAGCCGTTGTCCATGATCCGGCACAGGCTCTTCAGCGTCTCCAGGTCCTTGGTGAAGTGGAACTGCACCAGGCGGGAGTTCCGGAAGAGCGGCACCAGGGTGGTCTGCAGGGAGGCCCCGAGGTGGCTGGGCCAGGCGCCAGGGCCCCGCCGCCCCTCATGCCCACACGTCAGCAGGCCCCGCCCCGCCTACCGCCACTTGCTGGACAGGCAGCCTCCCCCAGGGCCCCAAGGTCGAGGCAAGCCGAGTGCCCCCTTCCCCGCTCACCAGTAGCTGCTGCGGGATGAGCTGCATGTACAGCTTCCGCGGCCACTGCTCGGTCCTCCTGCAGGGGTGCAGGGACGAGGGTCAGGAGGCCAGGCCTCACCGAGATGCCGCCCCCCGCCCCCTGCCCGACACTCACAGGATCTCCCCTTGGTTCACGTAGATGTGCGACGGCAGCCACCTCTTAGACCGACTGTTAGGCTCAGGCCTGGGCTTTTGGGGGATAAGAAGAGGGGAGCCGTCAGGAGTGGGAGGATGCCCTGGTCCTGAGGTCACCCAGGCCCGCCCAGGGCTCACCTCCTGCCACTCCATGACTCCACTCCATGCCAGGAACTTGTTGTTGACCATCTGGACAGGGCCCGCGACGCCACCAGGTCCCACTGCCTGGGGAGGAGACAGGTGGGCTGGTGCCCCAAGAGTTCCCCAGAGAACGCTGCCCAGACCCCTCCACGCCCCCAGTCCGTCAGTCCCAAGCTTATCTACCTGCTGCCCCCAGGGCCCGGCCTGGCCCAGCCCGGCCTCCAGTCTGCCCACAGGCCCAGAGGATTCCCCAGAGCGGGCCCTGCCCCTCACAGCACCCCCCGTGCCCTGGGCCAAGCCCCCACCATCAGCCTGGGGGACATGGCTCACAGGGTCTGCCTCTAAGAACTGGGCGGCTGTGTAACTTGCCGCACAAACGGGGACACTTTTGGGTGAAGGGGTCACTGAACAGCTGGTAAGGCGCGAGCCAGGATTTGAGGTCACCCTCCTGCCACGAGTGTGCCCGCCTGCCCATCCGCCTCCCTGCTCCCCATGGGCACCCCTCCTGCCGGGAACCACCCTGTCAGACCCCTCGACCCCCTCACCCTTCAAAGCCTCAGACACGTGTGGCGGCCGGGCCCAAGGGCACACCTGTTTGCGGGTGGTGATGACCTGCCGGATGGCATTGACGAAGCCGCTCTGGTCGTAGGGGATGAGGCCCATGAAGATCTTCTTCTTGGACGAGTACAGGAGCATGAGCACGCGCACCTCGCAGGGGGAGATGTGGGGGAAGAGCATGCAGCCCGCCTGTGGGTGGGGGTGGGGAGGGAACGATCATCACGGGACAGAAATCCCCAAGGTTAACACCAGGACCCTAAATGACTGGTGTGTAGCCAGAACGTGTCGTTCTGGGAGCCTGTGAACGTGCACCCTGGTGTCCCCCCCCCCCCACCGTGACTCTGGGGTCAGGGCTGGGGCCCCATGTGCCAGGTGAGGGTCCTGAGAGGGCTCCACCTGCCGCCCACATGCCCCGAGGTCATTCCCTGTCCTGTGGAGTCTGCTGCTGGGCCCCGCTGACGGAGGCCACCAGGCCCGGGGGTTAAGAGCACAAACGCAGGACCAGGCTGCCTGGGAGTAACCCTGGCTCTGCTACCTCCTAGCTGTGTGACCTAAGGCAGGTCACCTCTGGACCTCAGTTTCCCCACGTGTAAAACAGCACAACAACGGCGCACAGAGTAAGTGCCACATAAACGCTCATTACACAAGATGCTACTGCCTCCTTGGTGGGACTGCGGGAGAGCCTGAGCCTCACAGACGTCCCCACCCGGGGTGTCTAGACAGTGGGGCATGCGCGTTCTCAGCCCCGGGGTCCGCTGGCTCAGGGACCCCACCCCTGGCCTTCCTGGACCCACGTGCGGTCGGCCCTCCCGGAGCATAACTGGACAGGCCATGGAGGGCGCATGCTGACGTCCACCTTCCCTGCAGCCTGTGAGCCCCAGGCTCCAAGCAAACGGTGCTGAATGAAGGGGTGACCGGGCAGGCAAGAGACCCCACACCAATCACAACCCAGAAGAAAAGGGGATCGCCCAGGCATCGAAGGGCAGCACACAGCACCCCCCGGAGGCAGCAGCCAGGAGCTGGAGGGTGGTCTGTCCCAAAGGGGACCAGGAAAGGGAGAGGACCCCAGAGCTGAGTCCTCCAGGCAGACGACCTCCTCCCACCTCAACCCAACCCTTGCCCAGTACCTGCCATCCCACAGCTGGAGCCCTGGGGGGTGGGGGCAGCGGCTGAAGCCTGGGCCCAGACACGTGGGTGCTGTGCCAGACCTGAGAGGCTTGCAGGGACCACGCCCACCGCGTCCTGTGTCTGAATCCCCAACTCTAACAATCTCGCCAGCTTGCATTTACTAGCACTCACAACGCCCTCAAATCACCGCCTCAAGTGCTTTACTCACTCCTCCCAGTGGCCCCAGGACCGCAGGTGAGGAAACTGAGTCCCAGCAGACCATCTCCACTGCTGGCTCCCTCTTTCCTCCTGGCCACCCCAAAATGCCAAGTCCCTGCCATGTGCTATGGCCCCAACAAGCTCCTGGGTCCCAGGAGGGCTGGCCCAGGCCCCTCCCTTCGCTCCCGTGCCCGGGGGTGGCTCCAGCTTGGCGGGGAGGCTGGCTGGGCTCCTCTGCTCTCCAGGGACAGGGATGCCCCCAGGAGAGGTCACCCAGACCCTGCCACCTGCCTTGGGTTGTCCCAGCAGAGCTCTGCCTCCCGCCGTACTTGGTCACCACGGTACTTCCAAGGGGCCCTTCTCGCCCTGTCCCCGCCCGCCCGCCCCCAGCACCCCCGCCCCACTCACAAAGCCGTTGCCCATGACACGGCAGAGGCCCTTGAGAGAGTCGCAGTCTCTGTTGGTGAAGTGGAACTGCGCCAGCTGGGAGTTGCGGAACAGGGGGCCCAGGGTGGTCTGGGGGCGACAAGGGGACAGCGGGTCAGGGCCAGGCGGGTGCTCTGGGGCCAGGGTGGGCAGCAGAGGGCGGGGCCTCACCAGCAGCTGCTGCGGGATGAGCTGCATGATCAGCTTCTGCGGCCACTGGTCGGTCTCCCTGCGGGAGGAAGAGGGTCAGGGGGGCGCCCCTGCCGCCCGCCTGCCCGCCCCTGCCCACCACTCACAGGTTCTCGCCCTGGTTCACGTAGGCCTGGCAGGGGAGGGCCCGCTTCAGCTTCGCCGTGGAGTCCGAGTAGGGCCTGCGCTTCTGTGGTGGGAGCGGAGGGGTCACTGGACACAGCCCGGGTGCCCAGGCCTGCCCCCACCTGCAGGGGCAGAAGGGAGCCCGGGGCCAGCCCCCAGCCCCCCGCAGACTCACAAGGGGACCTGACGCGGACGCTCACCTCCTGCCACTCGAGGACGCCGCTCCAGGCCAGCAGCTTGTTGCTGAGCCGGTGCTCACCCACAGCCAGGCCCCCGAGGGCGAGCCCGGGCGAGGAGGGCCCGATGGGACCCAGGGCCCCGAAGACCCGAGCACCTTGCTGTGGCAGAGGGGGTAGGGAAACTGAGGCTGAGGGGCCCGCTAGGGGAGCTGTCCCCCACATACCCCAGAAGGGACATCCCAACATTGAGACCCCGATCCCCAGCTGCGAAACCCCCAGGGCCATTTCCAACCCCTTTCTCCCAGGGTTGAGACCCTGAGTGGCTGACCCCCCGTGTCCTTTTCCTGCTGCCACCCCAGGACGCTTCCCCGCCCCAAGGCTACTTGTCACCTCAACACTGGCCTATGCAGGGTCCCTGAAAGCTACCAGTTGCTTCCCCTTCCAGCCTTTGCTCCAGCTGTGCTCTCATCCTAGCGGGCCATCCCCCCCCCCGCTACCTTCCTCAGGAGATGCTCCCCACTCATCCTCCCAGTGCTGATCAATTTTTGATTCCTCTATTGAGATAACTCAGAAGCAGCTCTCTGGGGGTCCAGAGCCTCCCTGAAGCTCCCCCCACGACGCACAAGCCAGCCTGGGCTGTGTCTGTCTGTCTGGCACACTGGTTTGCCCCATCCCATCCAAGCTCAAAACCCTTCCAAAGCTCCCCCAGGCCCTCAAGAGAAAATCCAGGGACTCTCCTGGTGGTCCCGTGGTAAAGAATCTGCCTTCCAATGCAGGGGACGCGGGTTCGATCCCTGGTCGGCGAACTAAGATCCAACATGCTGCGGGTCAACTAAACCTGCGTGCCACACCTGCTGCGCACGCGTGCCTCAAACTACAGAGCCCATGCACTCTGGAGCCCGTGCACAACTAGAGAAGCCCGCGTGCCGCAACAAAATACCCCGCGTGCTGTGACTAAGACCCGATGCAGCCGTAAAAATAAATAAGTAATTTAATTAAATTTTTAAAAAAATAAAAAAAGGAGAGAGAAAATCCAGACTCTCCTCTCTGGCTCCCGCCAACCTCCCCAGCCAGTTGCCTGCCTCCCCTAGCGCAGCCCAGGCTGCAGCCACATCAGGCTGACCACGGGGAGGCGGGAAGGAACCAGAACTCTCCAGGGAGGTGGGGACACATTTACAACAGGGAGCCTGACAACACCTGGAAGGGTCTCTCAAACACAATGTCTTGAGAGCATCTGCAAAACTCCAGAAGTTCCAGCAATAAAGCCAAGGAAAGCTACACAATTTACTCACAAGGCACTCTCCAGTTATCTTTTTTTTAAACCCAAAACATCTCAAAGCAAACAAGGGAAGGCTTTGAAACAGCCTGACAGCAGGAAACCGGTGAAAACCTTCCTAATAAGTGCCTCCAGGCAGCAGGAAAAAAATGGTTGTTACTTTTCATTTCATTACCAATCAGTATTTTCCAAATTTCCTATAAAGCACACAGGTGTCTTCTGCCCCAGAATAACAACAGGCAGGAAAAACTGTATTTTGTAGGGGCTTAAAAAGCAAAATAAAAACCTGAGCAAGCATACTCTCCACCTGGGCAGGAGATTCTGGGATTCAGGCAACCACAAGGGATCAGGAAGAAAAGCAGAGAGCATCCTGGTGTAAGAACATGGTCGGAGCGTCTGAGACGGAGAAAGACTGTTGTAGCCCTGGGTGTGTAGGTTACGACAGCCAGAGCCCATAACGTCTGAGAAAACCAGTTAAATCACACACCTGGAGGAGACTTTGGGATCCAGGTGAACTCACTTTAGGGCCCAGTTAACGTGTGCACCAGGGACACCTGTTTAAACTCTGCTTGTGTCTGGAGATCACTCTGACTACGTTTTAACCTGAGTGTAAAAACCAGCGATGCTTAAGCTCAGGTCTCCCCGAAAGCAGGATGCGTGTCAAGGTGGAGAACCACATTTAAGGGCTAGACCTACGTGCAATCCTAACGGAAATCTCACATCTGGGCAGGTGTGTGTAAAATGCCTCCCACACCTGTTCTGTTGCTCACTGCATAGGAAGCCTATTTAGTACCTGAAAGAAGAATGAAAGCTTTAAGATGTACGTTTAAGGACCCAGGAGGCGCTTCTGAACAAGCAGACATGAACGCTAAGGAACGGAGAAGGCAATGGAGTGAAGGATGATGTTTAAGCTTAGGGAGGTGTTCCGAGTCCGGGTACCTGAATATAAGATCCGAGAAAACCTGTTTAAGGCTAGTGTGGAGCTGCCACAGCTCCCCGATACACACAATGTTGGGGCAAGATATTTAAGAAGGAAGCTTGAGCGCCAGGTTAGGGTAAAACGCGCATCTGGGCAAGCGTATCATGGCTTGGCTGTGCGTGAAACGTCGGGATATGTAGATTTACAGCTCCAGAAAAACCTTAAGAGTTTTGACAAGTATGTGCATCTTTTAGGTCTCGGGAAGCATGCGTAACTTCGCGTACCTGCAAAGCTGGATGTTTATGTTTAAGATCTGGACTTACTTGGCCTACTGCCATCAGTAAGGGTATCCAACATCTGGGCGAGCGTGCAAATAAACCCTGGGCGCACACGCCACGGGCGCCGTACAGACGCGTGCGGGCCCGGGGAGAACGCCCCCGGGGGCAACACCTGGGCGCGCCAGTGCGAGACGCGGGGCCCTCTCGCCGCCGTCCCCCCAGCCCCCTCCCCCATTTCCAGATTTCCTGCCCGGAAAGCGAGCAACTTTCCAATTGGAAAAACAACAACGCACGTCGGCCGTCCGCCCGCCCCCCACCCCGCGTTTAAATCGGGTCGCGGAGTCAGCAGTAATTTGAGCCCTTCCCGCCCCCGTACCCCACCCCCGCCACCCCATCCCGAATGCGAAACAAAGGGGAGAGCCCGGCGCGTACCACCCAGGGGGGTTCACGGGGAAGCCGGCCCCAGGCGGGACCACCCTTCGGGTCACCGGAGAAACCCCCGAGGGGGGAGGCCGCGGACAAAGACGCCAGTCCAGGAAAGGGGCCGGCGGGGGCGGTGCTGTGGAAAGCTCTGGAAAAAGGGCGGGGGGCTCACCATGGGAGGGGCCGAGCGAGCCCGGATCCGCGGCGGCTGCGGGCCCCGGGGGCTGGCCGGCCAGGAGCGCGAGCGGGCGGCGCGCACCGTGAGGTGCCGCAGGGGGCGGCCGCGACCCCCGAGGGGGCCCCCAGCGCCGGAGCGGTGTGGGGCACGGCGCGGACGGACCATGGCTGGTGCAGGCCGAGCGAGCTGGGGGTTCCACCGACTGAGAGGCGCGGGCGCGCGGCTTAGGGGGAGACAGGCTGGGCTGTACCAAGCGTGGGGGACGCACCGCCGGAGATGGTCGCCGTGGCCAAACCACTGCGGCGAGCAGGGGAGTGCGGCGCGTACCAATAGCGTCCGCAAGGGGGCGTGGCCGGGGTGTACCAAAATAGGGCTGGGGGAGCCCCGGGAAAAGGGTGTGTGGGGCGGAGAATACGGCAATTGGAAGATACTATGGGCCGCTCGAGCACGGAGGGGAGGAACTGAGAGGACGTGAGAGAAACCGCTTCAGGGGGTCGCGGCTGGAAACACCAGACCGAAGGGTGACCGGAGGAGATGAACGTAGAGGGTGATACCAAATGGGCTGGGGGGGGTGGCAGGGGAGACCGTGCCCCGAGACCCAGACCTGCGGAGCCGGGAGCATCAAGACATGTAAGGAAAAGGAGGAATAATAGGCCTAGGGGGCCAGGGAACCTACCTAGAAGTTCGGGAATACGGGTCGTACAAGGCCTAAGGAGAGGACTTAGGGTTTGAAGGCAGTGACGTGGCTAGGTGGGCAGGGGACCACAACTCCCAGCGGCCGCCGGGCGGCCTGGGCGGAGCCAGAGACCCCAGGAGACGCCGCCGGTCACAGCTGCGTGCCCATTGGTCCCCGGGCCCTAGGCTCCGCCTGCCTCCCGCTGCATCTCCTTGCCACTCGCCTCTCGGGGCCATTCATTGATTCGCTCATTCACTCAACGATTAAAGGACTGCGTATTCACTTACTAGTAGTTGTGTAAGATTTCCTGCTTCAATTTCCTTGTTTCTTAAATGTGGATAATAGCTAACCCTAAGATGGTTATGAGGATCATATGAGTTAATAAAGTATTAGGATCGGTATCTGGCACAGTAACGACCTAAATGGTAGTTTTTCTCCTTTTAAAATCATTATTAGTACCATTTCCAGTTCTGTGCTGGGCAACGAGTATACCGTGGTGACCAAACAGACCAGGTCCACTGGAGAAAATAAACAATCGCAGTTTGTGATAAATGTTATAGAGAAAATGCACAGAAGGGTGGGATGGTGACCGTGAGAAGTCAGGAAAGTGACCTTTAGGCAGCCTGCAACTCCACATAGGCTGGAAGAGTGTGCTAAGATGAGGGAACAGCCAGGGCACAAATCCTGAAAGTGGAAGGAAAACAAGGGGGGCCAGTATGGCTGGAGCAGAGTGAGAGTGGAGGAGAGCTGTGGAAGTGTAGAGTGGCCAGGTGCCACAAGCAGGGTCCTATAGCCTTGGGACGGAATTTGGATTTTAGTCTCACTTTGCTGGGGAACCAGCAAAAGGTTTTTTTACCAAGGAAGGGACATAGTCTCATTTACATTTTAAACAAATCGTTCACAGGATGCATGGAGTTATGCACACAATGTCTCTACAAGTCTACAGAAGCAGCTGGGATCCAGAGTCACCTCTGAGGAGAGAAGGCAGCAGACGGAGTGGGGAAGGGGTCACAGGAGTGGAAAGGAGACTCAGTTTATTCTTTTAGACTATTTGGAATTCTTACCATATACAAATGTTGCCTATTGAAAAATAATTTTTGATATATTAACATCTTGTTTTAAGGATCCCTCTGGCTGTGTCGAATATAAGATTGTAGGGGATAGTGGAGCAGGAGGGCAGGGAAGAGACTATGGCAATAATCCAGGTGAGAGGCACAGGTGGGCTGGATCGCAGGCAGGGTGGCCGCAGTAGAAGTGGTCACTTTCACAATTTATTTTCAAGCTGGAGCCGAAAGGACTTGTGCAGAGAGTGAATGAAAGAGAGGGGTGAAGAGATGCCAAGGTTTTTGCTTGTACAGAAGTGTCATTTTGTGAAAGGGAAATGACTATGGGAGGAGAGGGTGGGAGTGGGGGGGGGAGATGGAAATATCACTTGTTTCTATGAGGTACATTTAAGATGTTGACTGAACAATTTGGATAGGGGAGTCTGGAGATATAATTTCGGGAGCCTTCAGTGTTGGAATTGATGAGAATGAATGAGAGATCACGAGGAGGTGTGTGCGGACAAAGACTGGGACACTCCATCCCTTTAGAGGTCAGATCTATGAGGGGCAATTAGCAAATGAGAGGACAGACGCATGAAATTTGAGGAGAAGCCCCAGGCAAGGTCATATTTCTCATCCTTGCTTGCCTGACCCACTAAGCTGCTTGCCCAAGGGTTTCCCAGGGCTGATGGTGCCCCAACCTGAGCCCCAAATCTGGCCTGGATTGTGGCCAAATAGGGAACCGGTGCTCACTGGACCCAGACTGCAAGTTTGATATCAACAGTTACCTCCAGAGCCCTGACAATGTCAGGACACCCCGCCGCTGGCAGCAGGAAGGAGAAAGAACTGTAGGGACAGAAGCCTCCTTCTCTTCCTTAATCTCCCTAAATCCTCAGTTCTCACCATTCTTAGCGGTCCAAGCCATTGTGATCTCTTGCCTAGGTAACAGCCTCCTAATTCTTGCCACCTTGACTCTCATTCCGCTGATCAAAACACTCCAATGGCTTCCCAATGCCCTTAGAATTAAATACAAACTCTTTCTCTAAAGCCCTGCATGCTGGGACCCCTACTGCTCTCTTCAGGCTGATCTCTTCCGTGCCCTTTCTGTCCTCCACCTAGTTGATGCCTTCCCATCCCTCAGATCCCATCAGGACACATGTGTTGGTATGAATTCCTAGGATTGTCTAAGCATGGAGAAAGGGGTGCCAGGATACACTCCAGCATGAGCAAAATGGCAACATGTCAGAATGTGAAATGAAAACACAGGCTGAAATTCTATTAGTAATATTACAGTACAGCTCTCTGAAACCATCTAGCTTACCCAATTTGCCAGTTTGCAAGCCACTGTTCATTTATCTGTAAAACCTACCCAGCCTAGCTGGCTACTATTATGACAAAGCAATTCTGCTCCCATCTGTTAAGCTGTACACTTCCTGAGGAGTAGCTGCTACCAAACCTGTTTATGCCAGCTATGCTTAAGTTAATAACTTAACCCTATCAGATAAATGAAATATTAATGCAAGAGAGTTGTTTGTATGCAAAGCAGGTTGCCTGCATTGGAAAGAATAAAAGTGAGCTACTTAAAAAAAAATAAAATGCTGCCAAATTAGATGCAAGCAAAGCAACCGTAAATGATTAAACGGAAAAGCTCATAAAAACCTAGGAAGGTCCAGCCTTCAGTTTGCTTGATAAGTGTCTTTAGGTTCTCAAGTCACTTTTTTAAAAAAATAAATTTATTTATTTTTGGCTGCGTTGGGTCTTCATTGCAGTGCATGGGCTTTCTCTAGCTGCGGCGAGCGGGGGCTACTCTTCGTTGCATTGCGCAGGCTTCTCATTGTGGTGGCTTCTCTTGTTGCAGAGCTCGGGCTCTAGGCACGCGGGCGCAGTAGTTGTGGTGCACGGGCTTAGTTGCTCCGCGGCATATAGGATCTTCCTGGACCAGGGATCGAACCCTTGTCCCCTGCATTGGCAGGTGGATTCTTAACCACTGCACCACCAGGGAAGTCCCTCTCAGGTCAGTTTTTAAAAAGAACTGGAAATGATAAATGACTTTGTGGTTTATGGGTGCAGTTTATACAAGCATGTGACGTTGTATGAGAACTGGGAGACGTATACTTAAAGAAAAGGTCTTGGGTACTTCCCTGGTGGCACAGTGGTTAAGAATCTGCCTGCCAATGCAGGGGACACGGGTTCGATCCCTGGTCCGGGAAGATGCCACATGCCACGGAGCAACTAAGCCCATGTGCCACAACTACTAAAGCCCGCGCGCTCTAGGGCCCGTGTGCCGCAACTACTGAGCCTGCGTGCTGCAACTACTGAAGCCCACGCACCTAGAGCCTGTGCTCCGCAACAAGAGAAGCCACCGCAATGAGAAGCCCGCACACCTCAACGAAGAGTAGCCCCCACTGGCCGCAACTAGAGAAAGCCCACACACAGCAACGAAGACCCAGTGCAGCGAAAAAACAACAACAAAAAGGTCTTGGTTCTACATAGAGGGAAGAGATGAATGTCTTTCTAAAATGTTCTTGATGAAAATAAAACATTTAAAGTGTTTAGACGTTCATTAATGCTATCTGCCATATTTTTCTAACTCCCCACTGGCCCAGCAATTGAAAGGATTGCACTTCCTGACCCCACTACATTTGAGTGGGGCCATGTAATTAATTCTGGCTAACGAGGTATGGGCAAAAATGACACATGTGAATTCAGTCTGGAGCATTTAATTACTGGTGCCAGACCAGAGCACTCTATGCCTTTCCCATGCCACTGGGCAATGTTTAAGATCTCTCAGCATGGGCTCCAAGCTGATCCTCCATGTAGCGAGAGTGAGAATATCCACCTTTTCTATTTCAAGCCACTGCAGTTTGGGGGTTGTTTGTTATTGCAGCATAACCCAGCCTATCCTGACATAGAAATGTCCTTTTCAAATAATCCTGTTTAACCAATCTGATTGCTTTTACTGAAAGGGCAAGCTAGGAGTACAAATAGATGTGTATGTGGCATAGACAAGGACATGAAGACAACATGGACAAATAACACTTTATACTACAAAGTGGGAGTAAGGTGATCTCTACCTTGAAGTTTCTCTTTTGTTTGTTTTTGCAATTACAAAATAGTGTTCTTAAAAAAAAAAGGGTCTGCCTAATACATACTCTTCAAGCTCTATACATTCTTCCTTAAGCTTTCTCATCATGATTTGTAATTATTTGTGTCTCCCACATTTGACTGGGAGCTTCTTAAGGACAAAGACCATGTCTGGCGTATTCACAGCTATATTCCAAGAACCCAGCACACAGCTCTCTGGGTCTAAGTGTACAACCCCCTAGAACACCCTCCACACCTCTAGAGAGGTTATGTAATGTGTTTACTCTCCCGTTTCCCCTTCCGGGGCGCACCAGGAAGCCACCTGTCCCAGCTTTCCCTGCAGTAGGAGGGGAAGATTGAGTTCTCACCTGTGGGAGCGTATGCATGAGCATCATGACGTCACGAGCGAGCGTCACTTCCGGTCCCAGGCCGGTAAGAGCCAGTGTTCGCTCCCCGTGCCCTTGCTCTATTGCTCTTTCCAGTGTTGGA